CGATCTCGGCTCACTGCAACCTCCGCCTCCTGGGTTCAGGCAATTCTCCTGCCTCAGCCTCCTGAGTAGCTGGGATTACAGGCACGCACCACCATGCTCAGCTAATTTTTTGTATTTTTAGCAGAGACGGGGTTTCACCATGTTGACCAGAATGGTCTCGATCTCTTGACCTCGTGATCCACCCTCCTCGGCCTCCCAAAGTGCTGGGATTACAGGCTTGAGCCACCGCGCCCGGCCTTGGCATCTTATTTTCTGTGAAGGTTTACTCTTATTTCAGCACCAAGGACCTAAGACAGGCAGCTGCATTTCCTAATCCTGATTCCTTAAGGTAAACTGTTATATCCAGTTAGTGTGATTCTGGAGTGTGCCCAACTGCAGAGGCAGGAGCTAGTACATGTGCGGGAGACCAGGAATGGATTTCAAAATTCATAGCTGCAGAATCCAGACCTAGAATGGAGGCTCAGGGTCAAGCCCTGTTTTTCCATGAGCTCCTCTGTTCACTCACTGACACCTCTCCTGGTCATGCTGTGTATCCTTCCATGTCTCAAAAAAAACCCTGGCACAGCCTGGTAATACTGACATGAGTGGAGTGTACTTCAGAGAGAGAGCGAAGTTCACTAGACTGTTGTTCTTCCCCACCCTTTGGCATTCGTGTTCTGAAGCCTTGTGTTCTCCACCTTCAGTGCTGTTCCCTCGCCACACCAATGCCAGTGCTCGAGACAACACCATCAACCTGATCCACACGTTCCGGGACTACCTGCACTACCACATCAAGTGCTCTAAGGTGAGAGCGGGCAGCATCTCAGCCTCTGTGCTCTGGGTCTTTCCCTCTACCAGAACTCATAACAAAAAGTCATTCCGTTAGTCTAGGCTGTGAATATTGACTCAGGTAGATAAGTTCTAGAGGCTTCAAGAAGTTATGGCCTTTCTTCGTCGAGCCACTGTCCCCCTCCCCTCCCCATAGCAGAGATGAATATGTTTCCAGAATTGCTCACCTTCCTGCTTCTCCGTAGGGGAATATTCCCAAGATGTCTGTTCCCAGATGCCCCTGATGACCTCTCCTAATGAAAGCAAAGCTGTCTTTCTAGACCGTGACTGCACTTCAGTTACCTTCTTTTGTGTTTGTTCCCAGGCCTATATTCACACACGTATGCGGGCAAAAACATCTGACTTCCTCAAGGTGCTGAACCGCGCACGCCCAGATGCCGAGAAAAAAGAAATGAAAACAATCACGTAAGTTAGTTAGCACACCAGCAAGACTGTCTTCCACTCCTGAGTCACCGAGAAGGAAGCAGTGGACGCCGGTGGCCTGGTCCTCCATGTGTCTGGGCACTGGCTACATGTGAGGCCAGCAGGGCTAAGCAGATAGACAAAGGTGGGATTCCAGGTTTTCGCTGCCATACAGGCCAGGGTGGGCTTCCTTGTTTCCACATTTTCATGAGCTATGAGAATGGCAGTTAGGAAATAAAGTTTACCAAGAAACTGTTCTTTTGGGGCCTGAGTTCTGAGGTCAGTCTTATCCTTCTTGTGGTCTTTCTGGAGAAATGGAATAAGTTGCTTAGGGACCTTTAATTGGGTAAATAGGGCTGAAACCACCCCACTAAGGGCTCTGTCGCCCAGGCTGGAGTACAGTGGTGCTATCTCAGCTCACTGCAACCTCTGCCTCTGGGTTCAAGCAGTTCTCCTGCCTCAGCCTCCCAGGTAGCTGGGATTACAGGTATACGCAGCCACGCCCAGCTAATATTTTGTATTTTAGTAGAGATGGTTTCACCATGTTGCCCAGGCTGGTCTCGAACTCCTGAGCTCAGGCAATCCACCTGCCTTGACCTCCCAAAGTGCTGGGATTATAGGCATGAGCCACTGCACCTGGCCCATCTGCTGTTCTTTTTACCAGTTGAACTAAAAGCCTTGAGTTCATAAGCCTGCCTCACAACCAATGTATTTGCCAACAGCCCAGTACATTTTTGAGACGGAGTTTTGCTCTTGGTACACTGGCTGGAGTGTAATGACATGATTTTAGCTCACTGCAGCCTCTGCCTCCTGGGTTCAGGCGATTCTCTTGCCTCAGCTTCCCAAGTAACTGGGACTACAGGCACTTGCCACTATGCCCAGCTAACTTTTTTGTATTTTTAGTAGAGATGGAGTTTCACCATTTTGGCCAAGCTGGTCTCAGACTCCTGACCTCATGATCCACTGACCTTGGCCCCCCAAAGTGCTGGGATTACAGGCGTGAGCCAGCACGCCCAGCCCAGTATTCTTTTTTTTTTTTTTAAGACAGAGTCTCACTCTGATCCCCAGGCTGGAGTGCAATGGTGAACCACCAGGATGCAAGTAATCCTTTCACCCCAGCCCCCCAAGTAGCTGAGACCACACATATGCACCATCATAGCTGGCTAATTTTTGGATTTTGTAGAGACAGAATTTCGCCATGTTGTCCAGGCGAGTCTCGAACTCCTGGGTTCAGGTGATCCTCCCACCTCAGCCTCCCAAAGTGTTGGGATAACAGACATGAGCCACTGCACCTGGCCCAGCACTCAGTACTCTTGAGGCAAACTTTTAGAGGGTGTGATGTGCCTAGGGCTTTACACTCCCTCTCTTGCATTTGAGGGCTCTTCTACCAAGTTAGTTTCTGCTGCCATTTGAAAGGGTGAGAAAGTAGGTGAGGGTTTTCAGACATTTTCAAAAAGCAGGTTAAGTCACCCCGACTTTTAGCAAAGGCCTGTCTCTGTAGCAGCTCAGAGAGGAGTGTCCAAATGCCATGTAATGAAATGGCAGTATTATTTCTTTTCTGCAGCTTCTTAGGCAGATCCTTAAATGGGCAAAGCGACCAATGAGGTGGGTGGGCAGGTGAAAGGATGTTTTCTTGCTACTCCTCCAGAACCTGGTCTCTATCCTGGCGTCTCCATTTTCCCCTTTCCCTGCCTGCTCTACACAGGAGTGCTTTTCTCACCAGGTACCTGTTTGGTGACCTGGAGTGTGAGGCAATGAATTTCATGCTGCTTTCAGGGCCCAGTAGACAGGCAGTTCCATAGAGGCCAAGAGGTAAACCAGCAGCCAGGTACAGTGGAAAGAAAACCTGACCTAGCAGCCTGTGATAACCAGACTGGAAGGCTGGGCGTCATCATAGCCTTAGGCCTGCCTGCATCACCTTTGGCGCTGGTAGCTGCTTGTGCATCCAGGAGGAAGGCCTATCAGGCAGCTGCCGCCCTATTCCACAGCCAGCGGGCAGTCTTGGGAGTCCCTGCCCAGTGAGAGCAGTTGTGTAGGTGCAGGGATAGCTCCCTGTCCTGATGAGAGACCTGGCAAAGGATGAATCCTTGAAATAAACAGTTCATAAACCTCCTCTCTGGGACTTAGAAAGAGCAACTTTGCCTTCTGTGCTGCAACTTCTCTTTGGCAGAGTTGGGTCCTAGAAAGGAGAAGCAGGAGGCAAACAACTGCATCCACCCTGAAAACCAGATTATGTTACTAATGGCGGGTAGGAGTTAAGTGACTCAGCTGTGGGCGGACGCCAGGAACCCTCAATGGTCCGCCCAGAATTGAACACTCATGAGCTTTTCATTTGGAGCGAAGGGTAAATAAGATGTTGCTTCATTTTAGAATGAGCAATACATCCAAGGCAGGGAAAATGGAGAGCCCTCGTTTTTGCCCTGATTTCCCATAGTTCTCAGCTCCAGCTTCCAGGCTACTTTCCCAGATACTGTTAGGTACCAGTTATAGGCTCTGTCCTTGTGGACCAGCTAGCCAGTCTGGAGAAATACTAGCTGGAACAGGACACCACAATTCAGGAGCCTCAAACCAGGCAGGTGTTCTGTAAGCCAGAGGAGGAGTCACCACGTAACAAGTGCCTTTAACCATGGAAGTTCTGAGGATTGCTTTGAACCACCTGTCCTCATGGTGACAGATGAAGGAACTGCTGAGAGCCCTGAAAGGTAGAAGCTCTGTAGAAGGAGCTGACAAATGAGGTAGTACTAAGAAGACAGATGAGCCCAGTCAGAAATTCAGGTACATGTAGGCCATCCGGAAATTGTGGACAGGTGATTCTTCTATCTAACTTGGTACTTGAATGTCCCTACGGACTTAACACTGATATTCCTGGGCGTCCAGAGTATCCGATAGGAAGGAAGAGCTGGTGAAATCATTCTATGAAAGCCGAATTTTAGCCCATGCCCTGTGGTGCCAGTGCCTCTACTTAGGAAATCTAGCCCATTCCACCTCGTTTGGTGTCTCTTTGGGATCCCATCTAGTCTAGGACTGTGGGGTGGGAAGAAAGGGCAGCCAGAAACTGACTTCACACTTCTCCTTTTGAAGGGGGAAGACGTTTTCATCCCGCTAATCTTGGGAATAAGAGGAGGAAGCGGCTGGCAACTGAAGGCTGGAACACTTGCTACTGGATAATCGTAGCTTTTAATGTTGCACCTCTTCAGGTTCTTAAGGGATTCTCCGTTTTGGTTCCATTTTGTACACGTTTGGAAAATAATCTGCAGAAACGAGCTGTGCTTGCAAGGACTTCATAGTTCCCAAGAATTAAAAAAAAAAGAAAAAAGAAAAAAAAGAATTCCACTTGATCAACTTAATTCCTTTTCTTTATCTTCCCTCCCTCACTTCCCTTTCCTCCCACCCTTTTTTCCAAGCTGTTTCGCTTTGCAATATGTTACTGGTAATGAGTTGCAGGATAATGCAATCTTAACTTGTTTTCTCCTAAGTATTTGAGTTCAAAACTCCTGTATCTAAAGAAATACGGTTGGGGTCATTAATAAAGAAAATCTTTCTATCTTACATGAGAATTTGCTGGGTTTCTGGACTGCGAGTCCAAAATGAGAAGAGGAAGGAAGACGGAAAGACCTATATTGCTGTTGAACCTGCAAACCTAAGCTGGGAAGCCCGGGTTTCAGGAGCCATCAGGTTTGGGTCCTACCTCCCCTAGAGGAGAGGAGAGAGGCTCGACTAGGCTCTGTCCTGTGTGAGCTACAAACTACTTTTTTTTTTTTTTGAGAGATAGGGTATCATTACCTCCTGGGCTCAGGTGATCCTCCCACCTCAGCTCCCAAGTAGCTAGGATTACAGGCGCATACCACCATGCCTGGCTAATGTTTTGTATTTTTAGTGGAGATGAGGTTTTGCCATGTTGCCCAGGCTAGTCTCAAACTCCTGGATTCAGGCAGCCTGCTTGCTTCAGCCTCCCAAAGTGCTGGTATTACAGGCATGAGCCACGGCACCCAGCAGACTAGTAATATAAACTTAAACGTGCTTCCTTGTAAAGCTTGGTCCCTGCGACTCTGTGGCTGCTCTGGAATAGCCAAGAAGCTCCCAGGACAGTGACAGGCAAATTAAAGGGTTTTCTGGTTTACCTTTTTATTGTGGCTAATGTATGGAATTTCCCAAAATGTGTTCGTTAGTGTATGGTCCTGCAAGACATCGATGGGTATTCAGATGTGGATCTGACACAGACTAACTCCCCACAGTTTCCCCTTCTCACATGCAGCCCAAAAAGACCGCCCTCAGGGAGAACAGTTGTCAAGTAAACACAGGACAGAGCCTAGTCGAGCGCGCTGTCCCCCAGCAGGACTCTGGTCCCTGAGATGAAGTTGTTTCAGAAAGTTTGCTTGGTGGAAGGAATCATGAGGAGAATTTTAGGGGCACCTGCAGTGGTCTGAGGGTCACACTAATGGTTTCTGCCTTCCATCTAGGGCAGTGTTTTTCATACTGACTTGGTACCCATTAATTGGGATGTAACCTACGTCACAACCAGCATTTTTATTTTCTAAACTTTTGATTTTGAGATAAGTGTAGAATTAAATATGGCTAGAAGAAACAATACAGAGATCCTGTATACCTTCCATCTGGTTCCCCGCCCCGCCCCCCCCCGGCTCGCCTCCCGTGCTAACATCTTGTGTAACTGTAGTATAGCATCACAGCCAAGAAAAGTCATTGGTATAGTCCACCCACCTTCTTCCGATTTTGCCGGTTTTACCCGCACTCTTTAGTGTATGTGGCATACATCTGTGCGTTTTTATCCTGTGTAGCTTTATGTGACACCAGCATTTTTAAGCAATTTAGTAGTATCAGAGTGCATCACATCTATTAAGGGTAAGTGTTGATTTGGAAACGTGTTTTAGTTACATGTGTGCATCATGACTGGATTGTAGAAATGTCTTGACTGAGTCATAGTGAAGATTTTTGAAAACCACAGGTCATTCGGTCATCAGACTTCATTTTATTTCACTAAAATGGGCTGCTAGAGAGCTCAAGGCATTCTGATTTCTAACTGGCTGCTCAGGGTTTCCCTGACTACCCACTTCTGGTACATGGAAAACCTAGATTAGATATATTGAGAGCAGCATGTGCATTCTCAACCCATGAGTTATTTAAGAGGTTTTTTTTGTTTTTTTTTTTTTTTTGAGACGGAGTTTCGCTCTTGTTACCCAGGCTGGAGTGCAATGGCGCGATCTCGGCTCACGGCAACCTCCGCCTCCTGGGTTCAGGCAATTCTCCTGCCTCAGCCTCCTGAGTAGCTGGGATTACAGGCACACGCCACCATGCCCAGCTAATTTTTTGTATTTTTAGTAGAGACGGGGTTTCACCATGTTGACCAGGATGGTCTCGATCTCTTGACCTTGTGATCCACCCGCCTCGGCCTCCCAAAGTGCTGGGATTACAGGCTTGAGCCACCGCGCCCGGCTATTTAAGAGGTTTTCAAGTGTAATTTTGACTAGAAGCAGTTTTTTGCTCTTTTTTAATTTTAGTTTTTAGTGACAGGATCTCTCTGTTGCTCAGGCTGTACTCAAGCTCCTGACCTCCCAAGCAGCTGGAACAACAGGCACCTGCCACCATGTCCGGCTGAGTTTTTGCTTTCTTGCTTGGAACATAACTAATACGTTGGGACTCACTGTACTCTCTTGCCAGTAGCAGGAATCTGATTTCTGATAAGTACTGTAAATGGCAGAATCAAGGTTGCTTAGAAGATACAGAGTTAGTTAGGAGAAAAACAAAACGGCATAAATATTTTCTACAGCAGTAAATCCTAAGGAAGTAACTAGTTCCAAGACACTTTGTCAGTATTAAAAATCCATCATGCAGGCTGAGCACAGTGGCCCATGCCTGTAATCATAGCACTTTGAGAGGACAAGGAAGGAGGATTGCTTGAGCCCAGGAGTTTGAGACCAGCCTTGGTAACAGTGAGACTCCATCTCTATTAAAAAAAAAAAAAAAAAAATCTGGCTGGGCACGTTGACTCACCCTGTAATCCCATTACTGGGAGGCCAAGGTGGGTGAATCACCTGAGGTCAGGAGTTTGAGACCTGCCTGGCCAATGTGGTGAATCCCATCTCTACTGAAAATGCAAAAATTAGCTGGACATGGTGGTGGGCACCTGTAATCCCAGCTACTCAGGAGGCTGAGACAGGAGAATCGTGGGAACCCAGGTGGAGGTTACAGTAAACCGAGACCATGCCATTGCACTCAAGCCTGGGTGACAAAAGCAAAACTCTGTCTCAAAATAAATCGTAGTGCAGCCTGGACAACATGGTGAGACCCTGCCTCTACAAAAAGTTTTAAAATTAGCTGGATATGGTAGTGCACGCCTGTGGTCCCGGCTGCTCGAGAGGCTGAGGTGGGAAGATCGCTTGAGCCCTGAAGGAAAGAAAGGCTGCAGTGCGCTGTGTTCATGCCACTCCACTCCCGCCTGGGCAACAGAGTGAGAGACCCTGTCTCAGAAAGAAGAAAAATCCATACTGGTGTAAACCCCTATCCAGATTGACTTCTCTTAACAAGGACACACTTGGTGTTAGTATGTATCTAGTCTCAAAGCCTCACAGTTGAAGCAGCCCACTGTGACTAGTCAAGGCCTTAGGACCTCAGGAGGAGCGTCTCAGGATGAGGATCAAGCACACTGAAGGTGTGGGCTGGAAAAAGGGGGTCTAGTCTGTTTCTTCCTAGTCTCAGGAAGCCAGTGCCCCAAGGGTTCACACCTGAGAGGTGTAGGTGTCCTTGGATATGGGCTGTAGAGGAACGGTTTGAATCTGTGTTACGCCATCTAATAGCTGTGTGACAGCAAATTTCTTCATCTGAGCCCCGATAGCCTCTTTTAAATTAGACATAATACCACCTACCTGAGGGTTTGTAAAAGGAAAATAATAAATGTCTGTTATAAGCATTTTAATGCTTGTAATTATTTATAATATCACTTAGCAAATCTTGGTTCCCTTTATAGTCAAGGGGATCAGAAGTGACAAGTCTCTCAGATGCCAGGCCTCATTTGGTGCTTGGGGTTTTCCAGGCCTTCCCTAAGGTAGTTGGTATTTTGGTATTTTCCCCACTTGAATGGCCCTTACTGCCGGCGGCAGGCAGGTAGGAATCTCCATGTCTGGAAAAAGTGGGACCTGGGGCAAGCTGCAAGCTAAGAATAAGGAGTTTGGCAGGAAAGGCACTAAGACTCTAATAGGAATTGGAAGCGTGGACTTGGAGGGAGGAGGAATTGAAATCAAGGAAAAATAGCCCTAGCTGTTGCCTCGGCCTTCTTTGGGGGAGCTGATACTTGGAGTCAGTTGCCATCAAGTTACCCTCATTCACAGTAGTACCTGATGGCACTTAACCGGAACCCGGGTCTAGTCTGGTGGCAATTTTGCATTCAAGCAGTGCTGCCCCCTACTGGGGGTTGCTAAAAGCACTGCCATTTCTGTGGTTTTTAAAAATCATTATTTCTGAGGCAGCCTCTCACTCTGTCGTCCAGGCTGGAGTGCAGTGGCTCCATCAAGGCTCACTGCAGTCTCGACCTCCTGGACTCCAGCGATCCTCCCACCTCAGCCTCCCGAGCAGCTGGAACCACACATGTACCACTGTCTCACCACGTTGCTCAGGCCTCAGCCTCTTCAAGTGCTGGGATTACAGGCATGAGTGTGAAGTGTTGAACGGCGGCTCGGAGAGGCCAACTGGGGTCCAGAAAGCCCCGTCCCTGCCGCCTCCACTAGTCCAGAGCTAGTACCCCCAGCCAGTATCACACTCACCCTGCCCCAGACACTTTGGGTCAGCAGAGAAATTCAGATACCTAAGAGTGGAAGTGGACAAAGGAGGCACAGGAGGATTCCATGAGAGAGTTTGGATTGGTCACCCCCATTCGGACTCTGCCTGAGGAAAGGAGAATAGGGTCGGGGCGCAGCCAGCTGGACGGAATGCCTGAAGACGGCTTGCACCAGAGCCCTCCGTGGCTGAAGGGAGAAGCCAGGGGGTGAGTCAACCCCAGGGCCTGATGGAACAAACAGGAACTAGATGATCTGGTAAGGAAGAAGCAAGGCTGAGCAAGAGACAGCCCAGACTCCCCGGCTGCCACTGCCTAATCTGTCCCATTCATACACATTCCACACGCAGTGTTTAGACAGAGCAGCAGAGAAGAAACAGACACCCTGGATCCCTCCGGGAGCAGGCCGGGGCTGGGAACAGGAGGTCTGTTTATTCCTGGCAGTCCCACATCCAAGGGGTCCCACACCCACTTCTGTCCAGGCCCCAGGCTGAACTCTCCCAGAGCCTGTGACTTCTGCCCGACCAGATCATGTGGGTCTGAGGGCTAGTGCTAGAACTCAGCGTCCTCCCCACCCACCGGCTCCCTTGAGGATGGATTTGAGGCTGGATGCTTTCCTCTTTCCACTTTTTGTCCCAACAGAAGTCCCTCCTCTCCAGGATCCCTAACTGTCTGTGCAGAGCTGGCAGCCACGCTCCACATGCCTCCAGCCCTTCAGGCCCGCGCGAAAGTTCCTTTGTTCCATTTACTTGCATTTTTCAGCCTGAAAGTGTTTCCTAAAGTCACACCCCCAGCCCCAGCTTTCCTGCTGTTCCCTCCCAGTTCAGGCCTTGAGGGAGTGTGGCTGGGCTTCTCTCCTCCCCCTCACTCCAAAGCCGCACTTGATATGAGGTAGAAAGCGGGGCACCACTCCTCCTGGCTTCCCAGCCTTGAACTTGCCTTTCCCTCTGTGTACCTGGTTTCCTCGGTTTCCCTGTGCAGCAAAAGTGTCACTCCCCTCTTGCTTTTCCCAGGTGCCCTATGCCTTTCTGAGCAGATCTGTCTTAGAGGGACCAGGTGCAGAGAAAGGCAGAAATCCTAATAATGTTCCTGAAGTGCCAAGTGCTGATCCAAGTCCTCATCACACGGGACCTCACTTAGTCTCACGATAGGTGAGTACAGCTATGGGACCCATTTTATAGATGAGGAAACTAAGGCAAGAGAACTTTAGTCATTTGCCCAAGTTCACCAGCTTTTTTTTTTTTTTTTTTTTT